CATGGAGAAGTCAAGCTCTAACTCAAAGCCATGAAGTCAGCCTGCAGATGGATCACATTTCATGCTAGGGTCTGTGTGACTCGGTAACTTTCACCTTGCTTCACTCTTTAATCAACCATGTAGCCAGGGAACTCGGCCTTGGCACTGTGTTTGTCACTGGTCTAAAATGCCATAGCTGGAAGAAAATGCTTGTTTTGGTGTCCTCCTCCAGTACTCACAATTTTCTCCTTGCATTTTTCTGTTGTTTGGCTCAGATGAATAGCAGTTTTCATCTTTGCTCTGTGTTATCATGTACACAGAACTGTTGCTGGGGGAGCTAACAGCATGCTTGCTTAGTCTTAATTCTGGGAAGGGGTCCCAGCCAGTCAATAGCCTTTATTTCTTTCACAACTCTGTACACTGCAAATGCAGAAATAATGCACAGCATTTGAATACAAAGACGCCATCAGACACCTATCATTTCTGGAGGCGGGTGAAGCAGAGGTGGCGGCACGGAGCTGGAGCCATGAATTCTGATTTGCTTCTTTTGCTGGGAGCCCAGGAGCTGGATTGTACTCCCTCTATGATTCATTGGATAGCATTGGATAGATTTTATGGTTTTTACCAACTCATAGGAGAAAGTAAACAGCACAGAAAAGGTGCCAGGACCAGGAAAATTTCTCAGGAAAAAAAAGTGGTTAAAGATAAATCCCAGGAAATGCAGGCTTCATACTGAACCCAGAAGATTTGTGGAGGTGCATGGGAATCTTGCTGTGGGCCCCAAAGTGACTTCTCAGAGTCAGTGTGAGTTTTGAGTGTAGTCTGCCATAGGACTGCCTTGCAAAGGCTGAGAGTTCTTAGGACCAGGCTGAATAGGATGGTTAAGGTCATCTGATCAGCTCCCAGGGATGCCAGGCCAGAGCTGGGATAGGAGGTAGAAAGCCAGTGAATGGAACCAAAGTCAGATACAGTGCAGCCAGTGGGAAGAAATGGAGTAGTCTTTGGCTTGGGAGAGGAATAGGAGTATGCGCCAGAGCGATGGACAAGGGTAGAGGCAAGTGAAGCCATTCATTTGTTGATTCAGCAAATCCTCCTGAGCTGGAGTTATGTACCGAGCCATCTTTGGTGAACTAAGTAGAATCCTTGCCTTCCTGGAGTGTATGTTGTTGTGGGGAGTAAAGATATAAAAAAGATACAGTACTCTATGATAGTGAGGAATGCTATGAATGAAAAAAATAAACATACTGATGGTACTTGATAAGTGGGAGAGGGACTTTTTTTAAAAAAAATTGAGTGGGAAAGACCACTTTGAGAATATGACACTTGAACAGAGGCCTAAAGGATAAGCCAGTCAAGGGACAGTCTGAGGGTGGAGTGGAGAAACATTTCATAGGAAATGCAAAGGCCCTGGGCCTGTAATGATCTTGGTATTTCAAGGAGTAGATGAAAGCTGTGTGGTTGGGAGAAGAGGGAGATGGGGCCAATTTGTGTAGTGTCCTGTGGGTCATAAAGGAGTTTGGATGTTATCCTGTGTATAATGAAAGTCCACAAGAGGATTTTTTGTGTGTGTGCCAGGGATCGAACTCGGGTCCTTGCGCTTGCGCAGCAGGCGGCGAAACCACTGAGCTAAATCCCCAGCCCAACAAGAGGATTTTAAGCAGGGGAATGATTTGATCTGAATTCTGAGCGTATCCTAGCTCTGTGAGCAGGCAGTTTTCAAAAAGAAATAAGAACAAGCAAATTTTATTTCCCTGGGGATGGAGGGGGCAAAGTAGGGGAGACACTGGATAGGAACTTCTAACCACATGGTGAATCTTGATTGCACGGGCATGTTTGATAAAGGCTCTCGTGGAAGAATGGAGAAGGGATGATAAGTATTAGATTGACTTATTCCCTCAAAGTGTTGATCCGGGATTACTGTCAGGCTGGGAGGAGGGTCTCCAGCACTGTCCGCACGGCCCTGCCCCAGACTCTCTCCTGTTCAACATTTCTATCTGCAAATTGGCAGAAGACTCAGAAGACGTGCTTATCAGACATGCAGCTGACATGCAGCTGTCAAGGACAGCTAATGCCACGGATGACAGGCTCAAGATTCACTGTGATGATCTTCCACTGGCTGGAGTGATGGGATGAGAGAGGCGATATCCCTAATTGCATTCAGGTTGGGGAACAAAGCCCAGTCAGGGTACCAGGAGCACTTGCTGCAGAACTCTTTCCAGAGAAGGGGAGACTGGGCTGGGGCCAGAGAAGTGAAGGAAGACAGCTGGACCAGCCCCCACATTAGCCTCCTCTCTAGATCAGTGACGAGGTCCTTGGCTGCTCAGGACCACTCTTCCTATCTGTAAAGTGGGGATGATACTGCCTACTGCCCAGGACTATGGAGAGGATCAAATGTGAGTGTGGAAGTGGATGCCTCACTTCTGCTTGGTCCGTGGTGGACCATTCATGACAAATGGTGCCCGGGGGTGGGCTTCTAGGAGCACTTAGAGGGCTCACAGCCAGGTGCTACTTCTTGCAGGAATACTAGCTTTCTAAGAGGCCCTGTGATGTGTCCAGAGAAGAATGACCAGGATGGTTGGATTCTGGAAGCTGTGTCCCCCAAGAGCCATTGTGAGTTTAGAATAGAGAGAAAGAGGCGGTTGGAACTAGGAAGACAAGAGTGTTTCCTCAGATGCCACAAGGGCTGCAGAGTGGAAGCAGAGAGGGAGCTTTCATTGCTCCAGGTGCCAGCAGCAGTGCAGTGAGTGGGAGTTGTGCAGAGGTGCATACGGGCATGTCACAACTGAGATCTAACCACTGATAATAACATTATAGTAATTATGCCATGAATGTTTCTCGAGGGCTTACTACGAGCCAGGCTTGTGCTAAGCATTTTGCATAATTTATCTCAGAGCATCCTCACAGTCTAGCCTTGAGAGGTAGGTGTTATCCCCACTGAACAGAGGAGAAATATGAAGCTTAGATGGCAGCTACTGGGAGGCAGCACTGGAATTCACACTCAGCACCCACTGGATCCTCTTGGCTTGGCTCCTGGATTTGGAGTGGCAGTGGGTGAGAAGGGACACGCTTGGGGTATCTTTGGTAGAGAGAACTCAGGGCCCCTTGCATGTTTTAGAAGCTGCTTTTTTTGTTGTTGTTTTTTTGTACTGGGGATCTAACTCTGGTCCTTACACTTGCACAGCAGGCAGTGAAACCACTGAGCTAAATCCACAGCTCAACTTCTGTTCCTTGGAGCTCGTACTTTAAAGGATTCAGCTATGAACATTTTGTGTGTGTATGAACGTGTGCGTGCATGCTTATGTGTCTAACATGTTTATTTTTAGAAATGCCAGGCATAGTGGCACAGGCCTGTAACCCAAGCTTCTTGGGAGGCTGAGCCAGGAGAATTGCAAGTTCAAGGCCAGTATATACAACTTAGCAAGAAACTGTCTCAAAATAAAAAATAAAAAGAGCCAGGAATTTAACACAATATTAGAGTACTTGCCTACCATGTTCTAGGCCCTGAATCCAATTCCCAGTACTCCAAACAAAACAAAACAAAACAAAACAAAACAAAAACCAACCAACCAACCAAACAGAAACAAAATATAGACAAAAGCAGAGTGAATAGTGTATGGTGATCCCATATGTCTACCTCCAGTTTTTACTATGATCAACGTGTGCAACATGCAAACAAATCTCATTTCAGCTTTTAGGTCCCCTTCCCTTCTCTCCTGCTGCTGGATTAATTTTAAGGGAAACTCCAGACATAATTTTATCTGTAAATACTTCTGTGCGCATCTCTAAGAGATAAGGACTCCCTTTGGCTGTGTATTATTACAGTTTTTAAAAATTAGCATAATTGTAGTGAGTCTTAATTCAGAAAAGTGATTGGCACCTGGCTTACATTACAAGGTCTTGGAGGGTAGGAGGGGAGGCAGAAGTTAGTCCTTCAAATCCTGGATGCCTGGGACTGAGACTCACCTGTTCCCTTTGAGGAAGAGGAGGAAAGAGGGGAAGGAAGAAAGAGATCTGAAACTTGGGGTCAGGGACTGGCAAGCTCCTTATCCTGATTGTTCCCAGGGGCACAGCTGTGAGAGTGGGGCCTATTTATAAGTCTAGACAAGGAAAGAAGGCAAAAGGAAGGGCATGAGTGAGAGGGCAGGGGAGAGGGAGAGGAGAGAAAGCAAAAATCAAGAGCAGGACAGGCCCTGTATCATACACAGCTTTGGGGGCCCTGTTGGAAGCCTGGCCCCCAACTATGGGTGCTAATGCTCACAGCCTACATTTACTGAATGAGCTCACACATGGGGTACCTCTCATGTTCTCCTGGATATCCCAGAGACGGTACAGTTAGGTGTCATACCCCTTTCCCAGGAAGGACCCTGAAGTACTGGGGCCTGGCATGACATAAGAAGTGGTGCCCAGCTTCAGGCCCAGTCTGTTTAGCTAGAGCCAGCTTGCTTCTGCCAGCACTGTGCCTCTATACCTGGGAGGTTACCGAAGGGCTGAGGCCAGAAGGTTCAGTTGCCTTGGGGATGAGGCTATGGACACACACCCTAGGTATCATTGGCACAGCATTCTCCCAGTTCTCCAAGTTCCCTGTCTACCCAGCCCATGTCCTTGGATCCCTGGTCTTCAGCAGAACCTAGCAGCTAAAGGGCTCATTCAGGGACAGCAGGAAGACTTTAGGTTCGTAGGTGTGCCCATTTGGGCAGATTGGCACCTGCAGGGCTACACCCCTAGTTCTGTGCATGGCCACTTGTGACTCATGTGCCTGCCTGTTTCTGTCCAGGTGGGTGTGCATCAAACCACACACGTGTGGATGTTGTCATGCCCCATGGGGTGGTGTTGAGTCCCCTTGGGAGTTCACAACATGTTCATTTTTTGCTTCCTCAAAGGAAGCAACAGGTCTTTCTTACCAGGAAAGTAGTTTTCATCAGGCATGCATCCACCCCCTGTCCCTGGGGTATGTGTCCTGCAGCAGAGCCACCCTGGAGGACTAAGCACTAACACTGCTTGTCTCCCTGACTTGTTTGCAGAGCCCCGGAGCTCAGCAGGGACAGAGATGAGATTTCCCTCCTGGTGGAGCAGGAATTCTTGAGCCTCACCAAGGAGCACCTCATTCTGGTCCCAGAGAGCTCAGAGGAACTGAAGGCTACTAGTGATGATCCCCAGGGGACCAGAGAGCTGGCTCCTTGTGTTCTTGCACCTCTCCTGGTGGCAAGAAGCAGTGAGTGCCCAGGAGCCTCCCTCACTGATGGCGACAGGCTTCAGGAGCAGAAGGTGGCCATGTCAATTATTGGCAGACAGCAGGACTGCGATTCTGCCATGTCTACAGCAACAGGCATCCTGTGTGCTGCCAAGATCAGGGGTGCCAATGGGATGGAGGATGGGGACCACAGCCTGGGTGACTGCACCTCGGAGATCAGTAAGCTCTTGACCCAGTTTCCGCTGAAGTCTATGGAAATGTCCAAAGCCCCCGACGACAAGATGGTGCTGAAGGAGACAAGAGTCATCAAGGACTTCCTGCAGAACAGCATTTTCAGTGACTCTGGACCCACAGAGCCCATGGGGCTGGGCCCCTTCAGGCTGGTGCCTCCTCCACCTCCTCCTCCACCCCCAGACAAGCTTGCTGATGAGCTCCCTGCCCAGAAGAACCAGCTGCCAGTGTTTGCCAAGATCTGTTCCAACACTGAAGCTGACCCCGCCACGGAGGGGCATCACTTGATAGGTGAGTGGGGCTGGGAGCCCAGAGAGCCTCCCAGGAAGCTAGGCAGGGCTGCAGTGCATGTACAAAGTATCCTTGTGCAAAGCAGGACAAAGCAGCCTCTCTGGTGGACACAGGCTCCCGGGTGCAGGCTATTCTTGGCCTCCTCTGCTGGACAGGTGTGGATAGGGCACAGTTGTGTGAGCAAGCACAGAGGCCCCAATCCCAGCCCAATTTGAGAGGAGAGATAAGCACCCCGCAGTGGAGCCTGTAGTAAATGGCTCAGCTTCTAACTCCACCAGGAATCCGGTGCACACCAAAAGGCTCTGGGTGACACTGCAGCATGAGAGCTTTCAGAGGGCCAGGAGAGGGATTTGACTGGCTTCTGACAAAGCCATCTTCCCTGGCCATGAGGCCTATCCTCTCTCGATGGGGCAGGAAGAGGATGCATGAGTTATCCAGGCACAGGGAATCAGAAGTGTCTTCCCATCCCCTAATTGAGGAGTCCACATCCTTCTGAGGAAATGCAATCACTCCCCAACCCCAAACCATCCCCCCCAGCACCCCAGGATCCTTCTTTGCTTTCTGATTTTACCACTCAGACCAAATGGTTCCAAGGAGACAAACTGATGGCAGTGGCATTCACCCAGAGTCAGCAGTCACTAGGAGAGTCGATCATGCTCATGCTGACCAAATGAAGAATCACTCCCAGTCTGTGTACATGGATGGGTAACTGAGAGATGCTTGTATCCAAGGGGGCCAAATTCATCTCCTTAAGAAAACAAGAACAAGGTTACCTTTAAGAACATTCTGTATTCTGGACCATTGTAGGGAGCCTAGGGAATTGGAGTCAGGGACGGCAAGCTGGACCCAGTGCTGGGCAGGCCTGGAGGACGCATTCGGGATGGCAGTGGGAGAGACTAACCCTTTCCCTAAGGGCCGGGACCTCCCCTACTCCTTCTCCCTGAAGGACTCATGGATAACTCTATGCTTGGTGGTGTTGCTGGATTGGACATAGTCTGGCCCATCCACCTTCTCCACCGTGTGTGTCTGTGCACAAACATGTGAGCAAAAGTGTGCCAAAGGAAACATTGCCAGTGTGAGTGTATTTGTTAGAAAATGCAGGAGTGGTACATCTGCATGTGTCTGTGTGTATATGTTTGTTGGCCCATGTGTCTGTCATGGGTATAATTGTGTGAGTGAGGCAGAGGAGAGACAGGCAGGAATGTGTGTGTGTGCATGTGTGTGTGTGCATGTGTGTGTGTGTGTGTGTGTGTGCATGTATGTGTGTATGCACACTCCCATGCTCTGGACTCAGGAGGGTGCCTTATAGATGTTTAAGGGACTGCAGGTATGTGAGAAAGGTTGCAGGTGTGTATGTCTCTGGGGAATAGACTATTATTAGTTGGTGTGTTATTTCAGCACACTAGCTAGGGGCTAAACTCAGAAACTAGAGAAAGTCTTGGAAGAGACTGCAGGGACATGTTTTGCTAAAAATATCATTGTCTCCCAAATTGGCCCAGGCTGGAGCAGCTTTCCTTTGTCGAGATGGTGCTAGGACAGGCCCAGCCCCAGGCAGACTCATCCCCAAAGACCCCACTGGGTTAGAGGTCCAAGAGCCAGTGGGATCAAATCCACTCCCAGCAGGTAGCAGCGAGGCACAAGTCCTCTGATTCGGCCATGACCAGAGTTCCCAGGTGCCTGAAGCGTGTTCAGCACAATGCACAGCTATTCAGTGGGCAGTAGTTTTCATGATCAGCCCCAGTGGAGACTTCAGAGACTGCCACACAGGGAAAGGAGCCAAGGGGGCCAGGGGTACAGGACCTTTCAACCAAATCTGCAGATAACAAAATCTGCAGGTACTCAAGTCCTTACATAAAATGGCATATAGCCAGAGCACATCCTCCTATATACTTATCCTCCTACATACTTTAAATCATCTCTAGATTAGTTATGATACCTACTACAAAGTAAATGTTATATAAATAGTTATCTTACTGAATTGTTTAGGGGATAATGACAAGAAAAAAATCTGTGCATGATCAGGACAGGTGCAATTTTTTTAGAATATTTTCCATTCACTCTTACACACACACACACACACACACACATGCACACTTAATTTTGTTTGAAATAGTTCCGGTGCCTAAAGGACATGTGGGTGGAAGCACTGGTGAGGAGGACCTCTGCATGGTACAGACAGTGTGCTTGCACTTGGGGACAAATACTCAATCTATTTGGAGCAAAACCTGAATCTGGTACCAACTGTGTCCCTCAGGAACGTGCTAGTCATTTCCAGTAATTTACCACATCTCTCTGATGCTTCCCAGTCTGTCTACTGGAGCCCAGACCTGTTGCACCTTCTTCCCCAACAACCCTGCATGAAACCCTACTTCCTTCTGGAAAGCATGGACCTTCTAAGCCAGCATATACTCTTGTTTTGTCCCTCTGTCACCTCATGTTGCCCATCTGCCTTGTCCTGGAGCTATTTCTGGCACGTCTCTCTCTTGGTTGTGTGAGCTCCTGCAGGGCAGAGACTGGCTCTGACTCATCACTGTGTCCCTGGCACTCAGGGCAGGGCCTGGCACTGATGCTGAATTGCCTCTGAGCAACACAACAGAGGTAGAGACTACAATGAGGAATCAAACAGTGTGGCTCTGACTGCATGTTCTATTGGGATGGGTGTCTTCTCCATATGCCATGTGATCCCTGGTGCCAAAAACTGAGTCCAAAGTATTCTTATGTTCCCAGCCTGACACTTTGGATGGCTGGAAGGAAGGGAGGAGACAAGGAGGGAAAGAGAGGAGAAGGATGGAGAAAGGAAGAAAGGGCAGAAAGGAAGCTGGAGGAAGGGAGAAAGAAAGGTAAACATGGATGGATGGATGGATGGATGGATGGATGGATGGATGGATGGATGGATATGGATGCATGAGATAGGAAGACCAGATCAGGCAGTGATCAAGGAAGGATTCAGGGAGATACTGGGGTTGTAGTTGGCTAAATGAGAATCCTCAGACTCAGGTGAGCCCCACGTGTGTGTTATGGAGGAGGCATCATTTAGTCCAGAAGAAGGTGAGCCCCTGAATCTGGCACTTGGCTTTTCAGAAGCTTTGACTCAGTTCTCCTCTTGCTGTAGAATGGAACCCTGGCATTAAGGAGTCAACCAAGAGTCAAGAGAGCCTCTTTCTCAGCCAGTGGCCCGAGAGCCAGAAGGACACCTGTGGTGAGGAGAGTCACAGTGACCCAGTGAGCACCATGCCCACCAAGAAGCCTGCATGGCCAGATGAGAAGAACCTGCTCTGCAAGTTCCTTGGGACTACCAAGAACAACCCAAGTGGGCAACTGAAGCTTTGCAACAAAGTGGAGGTGGATGGGCTGGAACTGAAGTGTAAGCTTACCCTACCCAGGGCGGGCTGCAGAGAAAGGAGTTCCGGAGACTCTCAAGCCTAGGATTGGCTCTGTCTTATCCACAGTCAAGGCACTGTCTTTCCTTGGGTGTCAGGATTTTTACAGCCATAAAATGGGGAGATGACTTTTCCCCCATGTCCCTTACTAGGAATACAATGGCTAGAGAAGTGTAGTTCCTTGCAGTGGCCCCATGGGCATTATCAGTGGTCAATTTTAAATATAGTCCTGACCTATACTACATAGCTTCTCATATTGGCCAAGTTAAAAACATTCATGATTTAGATTATGATTATTTCTACACTGAGATTATTCATGTCCCTCTTTTCTCTCCATTGCCCTCCTACATCTTTTAAAATCAAAACCCCTTTCCAAGAAAAATGCCAATACTGAGGACCCATTTACTACTGCATAAAGCCATAGGACATCTTTTAGAGGGGGAGAATCTTGGGTTCATATCTGGAAACAACTCAACCTAATCTCATACTTTTAGGCTCCACACTGAATTATTTCATGTTTTAAAATATTAAAAGAGGGCCAGGGATTTAGCTCAGAGGTTCTGGCCCCTGCCTCACAAGTGCAAGGTCCTGAGTTCGATCCCCAGTACCAAAAAAAAAAAAAAAAAGAAAGAAAAAGATTCTCGATCAGACATAGTGGTGCATGCCTGTAATCCCAGTACTCTGGAGGCTGAGGCAAGAGGATCTCAAGTTCAAGGTCAGCCTAGGAAACTTACACAGATCCTGTAACAACAACAAAAAATTCTAATACAGATACAGCAGCCTGCACAACATTCTCAGTCCTGCTGAGTGTATAGCTCTGCTTGGGGGCTGCTTTAATCATTTGAATTCCAAATAGCATGCCATTTGTTTATATACAGGTAAATTTTTCTAAAGCACTTGAAAGGATTTGATTTTGTAAATACTGTAGGTGAAATATAGCCAGAGCAACCTGGTTTATTGTTTCCCTTGCTAACCTGCCTCCTTTACTAAGAATGGTGGCAAGAGAAGCTCCAAGCCAAACTGCTGGGGTTTTCATTCCTTCCAAATAGGCAAGGCATGAACTAATGATGTTTCCTATAGTTGGGAATTCACCAGGACTTTGAAGGACCTCTTGGAGCTGAGACAACCTGACCTCAGAACAAACATCCCAGGGATGGCTCTGGAGGCATCCTGCCCTCTCCCTGCCTCAGTCATTGAACAGGTTTCCCTCTCTTGTGACTTACAGTTAACCCACAGGTAATGGTTGCAGAGAAGAACAACCCTAAGCACACAGGGAATATGTTCACCCCATGCTTTGCCACAGCCTTGACCTCAACTACCATGAGCCAGCCACCCTGGTTCAACCTGAACTGCCCACCTCCAGCAGTGTTCGCCAATCACTCTGCCTTCCCACAGTATCAGGTGAGTGGGCGGCTCTGGCTCTCCCTGCAGTGGTGGAGTATCCGCATCCCTGTGGGTTCTGGGGAGTAAAGGAGGTGTAGTTTGTAGGAAGCCAATTGAGCAAAGAGCCTCGGAGTCCCTTTGAATGCCATCTGTCCTCTCCAGAGACAACATGGGGTCAACAGTAAGACACTATCAATGTGTGCTCTCATCTGTTACTGTTTTCACTGTGACCATATCAAGCCAACCACTAGGTATACACACATATACCTTTCTAATTTTCCACTGCTTGAATTCTAGTTCACACTTGTACCGTTTAATCCAGAGCTCTTTGCTGTTTTTGGCCGGTTAAGTGCTTGGCTCCCAAAGTAGGAGGATGTCGTGGTCCTTGTTTCCCACCTGCTTCTTGGAACTGTTGTGGCATACTAGATTATTTAGGACAATCCCAGTTTAGGTCTTTTGCCCAAGAATAATTATTTATGGCACCCGCCTTTCACTCTCAAGTATCATAGTTTGGATGATAGATTATGACCATCTTATTTAAACCACATCCAAGAAGTCTGGATCTAGTTCTTGATCTTTGGCTTCTAGCTAAGAAGGAATTAGTGGCCAGACACAAAGGGGCAGTGAAGCACTTGTAGCAGGATTTGAAATTTTACACACAGAACTTACTTATGCAGGGAAAATGTAGTTTCTTTATTTTGTCCATTTAACTTAATATCCCTTAAGCGCTGCAGCCCACTCAGCAAAAGGAGGGAAGAATCAAATAAATGTCCACACTAGTTTAAGCCTTTGTTCAATCCAATAACTTAAACAGTCCCTTTAGGTAGTGCTCAGGTTCTTCAGGAGAGGTGCTCAGCATGTGCGATTTCTCAGTCCTCTGCTCCTTCCTGGCTCCTCTCCAGAATGGCAGGCAGTTGCATGGGGAAGTATACGAACTTGGACTAGCATGTCCAACATGTTGGCCATCTGCTGCCTGAGCCTAGCCTGGCAATGCCTGGAAAGGGAAAACAGAGAAGGAAATATGCCTGACATTTGGATTGTCGTTCTCCAGGTCCTTTTCCCCTCTCACTACCCCTTGGTGCCTTGTGTCATTTCCTCTGCTACAAGAGCAACAGCCTTATGGCTTAGATGTCCTGTGTGGAAGGGGGAATTTTCTCTATTGCATACAAAGACTCTCTGAGCTGGTCCATTATGTGTAGTTCCTGAATCTTAAAGGAATTTATCCAAGTCTGGTTTTTCAGTTTTGTATTTAAGCTTGTTTGTTTGTTAAAGAGACTAAGTACCACTCTCTGCCTAGGTACAAAAACCCTCATGCCTGCAACTGAAGTGAGAGATTGTAATGAAAGTGATCTGTAGAGGGGGAAATGAAAGTGTGTCAGTTTCACATTAGTAATATTATCTTTACACAGTCTTGAGAGAAATTTCCTATTCATTGATTCACTGAGTCTGTCACTGTTACACTTCTACACTTGTATTTTGGGGTTTGCTTATTCACTGTTTGTCTATTTACCTACTCACTGAGTTGCTAATTTCTATTTATTTAGTCATTTGCTTATATAATTTCTATTTATTTATTTAGACATTCACTTACTATAGCCTGAGCATTATGCTAGGTGAGGAGATTCAAAGATGACAAAGAAACCTGGAGTCTAGTGCAAGTTCAGGAATAAATCAAAGTCCTAGGGAATGCACCTCAACCTTTAAAAAAGAAACAGTTGAAAAATTTTAGTGTAAATGCATTCACTCTAAAGCACATTCAGAGAGCTCACCATGCAAAGCTAATTGGCAATGGATTGCTGTACAAAGTAAGGAAGGTATCTCTTTGCTATATGTTAATTCCTTCTTAGTAGACTTCTTGGAGTGCGTGAGATTTAGACATTTTCTGAGCACGAAGGTCCCCTGTCTTCAGAGACACTGGTGTTTGTATTGTAGGGTGACTATAATGAGACTCTGAAGCTTGTGGACAGAAGCAGAATAAGGGCCTGGCTGAAGGACCCACTGGCTCTATAAAGGCGCCCTACCGAAGTCAGCTGTAAATTGAGTTGACTCTCCCACATAGTAACAAAAGGCAGCATAATTTACCCTCTCTCAGCTTCTCAGTCTCATAATGCTGCCTAGCTTCAAGTCAGCTAATCAAGGACCCTGGGATAATAGAGAGAAGGGAGATTTTGAAATCTGTAGTCTTGCATGTAAGGACTCTGCTGCTTCCAAGTTGTGTGGCTTTGGGTAAGTTAGTTAACTGCTCTGAGTCCTAGCTTCCTGAGTGTGAAATGGGCTCATCATAATTATAGCAGCAGCAGCACAAGCTGCTTTGGTTGGAAGGATTAATTGAGTCCATGGATGGAAAAGTGTGATATAGATGTTGGCTTTTTATTCAGCTGTGATCTTCCAAGAAAATGGAGGTTGGGGAGCTCTGCAGACCTAGAACCACGTCTGCTCTGTCTTGGTCTCTTCCCGGTTTGGCATTGGAAATAAAAATGAGCTCCCGAATCCAATTTGCTTGGAGCTCTGTGGTGGAGAGACTGAGAAACGGGAAGACAAAGTCTCCAACACTGAGGTGCTCCAGCAGCTCTGGGGCTGCTTGGCATAAAAGAATGGTGCTCTGATTAAGGAGAGAGGCTGTGTGGGAAAGGGCCATGGCCTCAAGCAAAGAAGAGTGAATGTTTGTTTGCCCTTGCTTGGGGTTTTGCAAAATTGCAATTGTAACAACTGGAAATGTTCTTAAAGCTGAATGGTGTTGCTCATACTGACGAATGTGACAACGTCGGCTTCAAGGATGGAGCAGGGATGGGCACTATTTGTCTTCCCCATCCTGAGCCCAGAGTGGCCTAGCACAGGACACATGGGGACCTTGGAGGCCTCCCTGCTCTTCTCTGGCCCTGGGAAAGTGGCTGTGGTGGGCAGAATTAAGTGCTAATAGGGTAAAACAAGGGGGACACCCAGCAAACTGCCCAGTGGCCTTGTAGCCCACTGAGGGCTGGAAATGGATGAGGCCACCCCTCTGTGTGACATTCTTATCCAGGCTCTGACCAAGGCCAGTGTCACAGGGGCCAGATGGAGTCATGATGGTGAGTGAGGCTGCTCCAGTTGCAGGGCTTGGACTGAAGCGAGCAAGTAGCTGGTTTCAGATGAAGGGCTTATGGAAGTAGGAAGCAAAGGGCACTGAAATGTCTGAAGTGACACATGTCCTGGAGCAGAGAGCAAGGAGGTGCTTGCCTGGAAATTGTTCTCTCTTGGGGATCTGAAAGGTGGGCCACTAGGAGAGTTAGGGGGGGCTTTGGGGTCAGAGGTTCCGGAGCCTTTCAGAAGGAGCCCATGGGCTGTGTGGAAGTCCTTAAGAGCATAGTGAGCCAGGGATTTAGCTCAGTGGTTCTGCCACCTGCCTCGAAAATGCAAGGACCCAAGTTTGATCCCCAGTACAAAATAAGCATAGTGAAAGCTGTCACTACTTTGGTAATTGGCACAAGCCACACCCAGAATGGGGGCAGCACATAACTAGGGTGTAGAACGTTCTGAGAAGATGTCCTGGGATGATAGCTACTTTGGCCTTTGAGCCTCCCTGGCAGCTAGAGGCATAGTCTGAGACTGGAAGGGTCATGGGCTGGCTCATGTTTTACAGCACGTGTGTTTTGTGTCTGTGTGTGGACAAATGGATGCCCCACATGCCCCCAGACAGAGCTGTGAATACAATTTCCATTTCCCATTTGGCTGAGCTGCCTGCCACTGAGCCTTTTCAAGGGGGGGTGCAGTGAGAGATGATGGACAGACCTAACATTTACAGAGTCCTTACTATGTGCCGGGCACTGTTCTCAGCTCTTTACATGCATTAATTCATTTTTCTCACACTATCCCTCCCTACAAGCTGCAGACACAGGAATGTGCACACACACACATACCCAGAGCAGCAGAAACTCAAGCTAACACACCTGGGGTCAAAGCTGCACACTTGCATGCAGAAACACACAGACATGTGGACACAGTTACAAACACGTATGGAGATGGACTTATATAAGCAAGGATGTACACATGTATACACAAACACACAGGCTCATACAGACACGTACTCAGATGCAGCAGACAGGGGAAAGACATTTACAAAAGTTCTGCAGACAGCAACTAAGATAATGTTGCTATCTTCACAGGCTTTGCAGGCCTGAATACACAATTCTGCAGATGAGGAAAAAGGGGCTCAGAGAGGTGAAGCCACTTGCTGAAGGTTGCAGAGCTACTCAGAGGCAGATCTGGAAACCAGGAGGTAGTCAGACTCCAGAATCTCTTATCTTCATCACCCCCAGGAGGCTTGAAGCCTGCTGAAAGGGGCCTTCTGTGAAGCATGAGTTGTGCTTGCCGCAGCCTGACTCCAGCTGTGGCCAGGACTGTGATGAGATAAAGTCAACCCTGACTGCAGATCCAGCATGTAGGCCAGAGAGATGAACCTGCACAAGCTCAGCCTCTAGCTGGGAGCCCTCACCCAGGCTGAGCCTCTGTCTCTCCCCCTAGGGCATGTACCCGCAGCAGTTACCAGGGATGCCCTATCAGCAAGCTGTGCCTCCTCAGCTGGGCTGCTACTCCCAACAGGTGAGTAGGTGACCTCCCCTCCTCTGTTCCAGTTCCATGAAGGCCTTGGGGTCACAGGGCTCCTTCATCTTTGTCTACCTGGTCACCCATCTATACTTTGTTGTCCACTACTGGCTGCAGCATGCAGACACATATACAGACCTGGGTGGGAAACAAAAACCAGTGTCCTTCCATGATGATAACAGCACCCCTTACTGTGTGCCAGACCCTTCTCCAAGGGCTTTGCCTGCATTAAATGAACCTTCACAATCACTCTGTGAGTAGATTATAGACAAGGAAACCGAGAAGCAGAGAGATTAAGTAAGTTGTCTGAGGTCACACAGTTAACATTCAAGTTGAATTTTGCTATGGTAATAAATGTCCTCAATGTCTCAAGGACTTTTAACAATGAACATTCATGGGTCTACAGGTTGGCTGAAGTGGGCTGAGGGTCAGAGGTGGGCTGAAGATGCAGGAGCTGTTGCTGCTCCAGTGGTAAGGGTGGGAGCACAGGGGCCTGTGAGGAAACTCACAATGCTTCCAAAAGCCTCAGTGCAGAATGGGCACTTGGAAACATCCACCTGTCTTCCATCGACCAAAGCAAATCACATGGCTCTGCCTAGCATGAGTGGCAGCAGGAAGCCATGTCCTGTCCTGGAGGCTACAGGACCTCCAGTTAGATTTGAATTTTAGATCAACAATAAATACATTTTTAGTATTTTTAGACATATTTGTATGTCTCAGATATTGCATTGGGGACATACTTATGCTAAAAGATTATTCATTGTTTTTCTACATTTCAATTCAACTGTGTATACCTCAGCTTTATTTGGTAAATCTGCCAATATCTTGTCTTCAGGTAGGTTGGAGGTGAAAACTTGGGGTCTGTCCTTGCAGCCCAGAACTGCCAATCACCATGCTCTACCACTTCTTGTACTCTGCAAACTGCCTCTCTGACCTGAAACATGCTATAATGTTTGGGAAGATAGAGACAGGCCTGTAGTTATAGGTCACTTTATTACCCGGGCTGGGACTGTTTTGTCAGTAGTAGGAGCCTTCCACATCCTGATGTGAGGCAGGGATGGGGAGTCCCAGCCACATCCCTTGCACCCCAACAGTGACACCTCCACCTGCTTCAAAGAAAATATTTTTAGACAATTATTCATGGCACTTATTTGCATATATTTAAAGTCAGAAATATAAAAGCATAGCAAAACAATTTAAAAACTTAGAGGCAATCACTTCACTGTTTATCAGTTTCTGACATAGCCTTTCACGACATCGATTTATTTAAACATTTCTGTACAAATGCAGCATTCCAGGCACGCAGTTCTGCTGCTTTCTGGAGATGGTTCCAGAGCAGTCTACAAAGCTGTTTGATGGCTTTTATCCGTCCCATGGAATCATGGTACATTTTCAGACAAAGCGTGTGTGCACTCAGAGAGCCACCTCTTCCAGGGCCAGGCATTTCCTCTTGTCACCAAGATTGGGGCAGTTTCTGCCTGGGGCTCCACAGGAGCCTGCCCTGAGAGGTGGCCTTCTGTGCCTACTTGGTGAGCTCCTGGCATTCTCACCCTCACCCTCACCCTCCTGGGCTTCTGTGCCTGTGTCCAGCATCACGAGGCCTTGCATCCTCACTGTGGGGACAATGGCAAAGACCAGGGAGGGGCTCAGCTTTCAGAGATGGGGCAACAAGGAAGGCTGGAAAGGAGCACAGGCTCTGGGCATGGCCTGTGGATTTTTTTTTTTTTTTTTACTGGGGATTGCACTATACTACATCCCCATACCTTTCTTGATTTTTTTTTATTTGGAGACAGGGCCTTGCTAAGTCTCCAAGTTCCCCAGTAGGGCTTGAACTTGAGATCTTTCTGCCTCAGCTTCCCAGATTGCTGGGATTTCAGATGTATGACACCACACCCAGCTCCCACTGGGGTTCTGACTGCAGTTAAGAACTGGAGACATCCATTGAAAAAGTCACTTGACTTCTCTCAACCTCCGTTTCCTCGTCTCCAAAATGGGAATAATAATGGCCTTACCTCACGGGGCTGTCTGGAGCTTTAATGAGAGAATCCATGTGAAGGTCTGGCACTCACTGAATACTCAAACACACTGGCTTGAGTGGGCTTTTATTGGCTAAGGGCATGCAGAGCAAGAGAGCTCTCCAGGATCTTGCTGGAAGAGTGGAAATCCAGAAGCTTCCCCATTTTTTCGGACTGAAACCTCCCTCAGCACACAAGGGGATAGATATCAACTTCATAAGCAACATGGCTTCTGATGTTTGTCAGTGGTGGAATACAGTACTCAGGAGATAATGGGCTCCCTGTCACTTCAGGTATTTAAGCAAATGTTAGTGCCCCACTTCTCCTCCCTCCCTGGCAATCATTCATTAGGTACATGTTTATTGAGCAATCACTGTGTGCCAGGCACTCTCTTGGAGCTGGGAGATGCCAGACACTAAGGGATGTCTTTGCCTTGTCAGGGATAGGAGAACAGGAGCCCAGTTCTTAGTTTGTTCCAGGGAGTCTCAGAACCCCCCTAAATTCTTGTCTTTCCTTTGGGTGTGAGCTGAGCCCCATTGTCTGTTTGCCCTTTCTCCTAGTCTCACACTTTCTGGCTAGGTAGCAATTAGCTGTGTGTGGCTCTGTAAATTTAAATGAACTAAAATTAAGTGACATTCACAGAATTCAGTTCCTCATTGACACTACCCAGATCTCAAGTGCCCAGTGGAGCTTTATGTGCCTACCATGCTGGTCAGCACAGACAGACCATTTCCACCACTGCAGGGATTTCCACTGGGCAGAGCTGTCTTCAACTTGGAATCTGCCGAGATCTTGAGATAGAAGCCAGTGCTATGTAAATCACAGCAGATTTGCTTAGGATAATAAAAGCTTTAAAAATGAACAAGGAGCTTTCAGGATGGTTATTGACAGAGAGAAAGGAAAGATGACAGAGAAGAGCATGGAAATAATGTTAAATTGCTCTTTATTACATGCCTGTCTCTTTACTTGTGTCAACTGACATGATCCCCACACAATGTAGATAGTGTTTGCCCATTTTACAGATGAGGCAACAGAAGCTCAGATAAATTCGGTAACTTGCCAGCTTCACTACAGAAGCTTAGCCCTGGGCTTTTTTCATCCCAACATATTGTCTTCTACATACCTTACATGGACCAGGGGCACAGAGGCTGAGGCATGGTGGCTGGGTAAGTTGGGGTTAAGATGGTGACCTCACCCCTCTCTCCTCTCTGACCTGCAGGTGACACTCTACAACACACAGCAGATGGGCCAGCAGATCTTCCGCTCTTCCTACATCCCCCTGCTGAGCTACATCCCCTTTGTCCAGCCCAACTTCCTGTACCCACAGAGGACACCTCAAAAGCTGCCCACCAATCCCCGAGACCCTTCCCCCATGGCAGGAGACGGGCCGAAGTACCTCTTCCCCCACGGATACCGGTGAGTCCTCCACCTACATTGGAGGTCCCGCTTGTATCTGAAGAGCTTCTGGAGAGGGGAGGCGAGTGGGTTGGGCTCCACGGACCCTTTCTTGATCTGTGTATCCCATGGCTGTGGGGAGGGGAGGGTCTTGTACAGTGACCAGAGGCTGGTGTGGAGCTGAGCAGGCTCTGTAGGTCCATTTTGGGCTGCAGCGCTATAGTCTGGCTGCAGAGCTGTAGTCTGGCTGCAGAACTGCACCTGCCGTGTCAGAAGAAAGCCACCCCGCTCCATGGTCAGTGGCAGGCAGTGAGGCATGACACAGTACTGGTACCCATTTGCTTGGTTTACAACAGGACGTGGCCAGGTAATCTTATTATGTCTTTTTTCCCACTGTCTACACCCTAAATCCTTGCCAGACAAATCTCCTGAACATTTCCTTAATTTCCCAGATGGCCTGCCTGAAGGGTCCTGATTGCCTACTACTGTTCACATTTTTCTACCAAAGACTCCCAAATAGTGGATGAGAGAGATTTGTATTTTCTGGGACAATCTGAGGGCTTAGCAGAAAACATCCAACATAAACTTAAAATTTTAGCTGAAAATTCCACCCCAAATTTGCATGTTGTTTAGTTATACATTTGTTTGTTATATAATATTAAACAGCCACTCAGCCTCCCCCACCAAATCTTCAGCTAGTATTGATGATCCAAGAAACAGGCGGTGCTGTGTCATTCCCATGGGTCCAAGTTCCCCAGGCATACCATGGGTTACGTGTGCCCCCCGGTTGAGAAACTTAGTTTCTAGGATTAGAAACCTAATTCATTCAACCTAATATCGATTCCCACCCACCTACCTTCCCCATCACAGACGTTCGCTGTGGGGTCCACCACACATCCCCAAAGGAACATCCTTTCAATCAGCATTTCTCCAATATCTTGTTAAAAGGGATAAATGCTAGAAAGAGGCTTCAGTAGTCAGATCTGTATGGGAAAAGCTGTGAGAAACAAAGGTAAACAGATTTCTTAACTGTTGGAATTCTCGGATCATTTAATTTCCTAGGGTGTGTGGGGAATGTTCAAGAAGGTGGTCGATAGTGTTATTTGAACATGACAGCCACAACCCTGTTTATTTCTTTCTCCCCTGCCATTTCTTCTTCCCTCCCTCCCTTCCTTATTTTTGTAGAATATATCATGGTGTATCTCACTCAAAACACCCTAGGAGTACTGTGTTAACTTCTGTAGTTAATTTGAATTTAGCCTGCAGGGGATCCACAGATGAATAGGACCAACTTCCTCTCTTCAGAGAGAAGAGAGCAGATGAAAGGTGGACACAGCACTGTTAGTGCCCTGGCAAAAGAAAGACCAAGAAGGTAGCCCTGAGGCCAGAGGAGGAACCCTGCAGTGAGCAGTGAGGGGAGGAGAGCTCAACAGGCAAGCTGATGTAGGCTGTCAGGTGGGAAGGTGCTGTGACATGGAAGCTTGGGAATCAAGGCTTCTTCTGGCTGAAGAATTAGATCTGCTCCTGAAAAAGGTGGAAAATAGGATTGGAAAGGGGAAGTGAGGATTGGACTATTAAAGACTTTTGGGTGCACGCAGAGTGAATTGATGGGTGGAAGAAAAAGAAACAGGGAAGAAAGAATGGGAGAAGAAAGAAACGATGTGGTCTGGAGAGGACCTTGAGGGTCTGTACAAGAGGTGATCACTGCCCTCTTACCTGGAGGCCAGCAAACATCCCATATTCTAGCCTGTGGTTGTGGACTCAAGAGAGCTTTCCTTGGGAGGGAGGGAGGACCAAGGTCTTGGTCAGGTGCAGGAACCATTGACCAGAAGTAGTGGGGACAGAGGAGGGTTGAGTCTGCTCTTTGGATGTCTGCAGAGGGGCAAGGAGAAGGGGAGGAAGGAGTAAGACTGAGAAAGGACTGTTTGAGAAGTAGGAGGGAGGCTGGGGAGAGCCAGAGAAACTGAGGAGCGGCAGTCAGGAGGAGGAATGGTACCCTGAGACATTAGGAAAACCGGGACAATGGAGTCAGAAAAGTGACTTCAAGGGGGTATTGGCCTGCATCACCCCAAAAAAGGATGATTTGTGCATCCTCAGAATCCTGAGTCAGTGTCTCCTTGTGCATGTCATTGTCCTATGCACTGGGGCTCTCGAGTGAACAAGTCAAAGTATTTCCTGCTCTCTAGGAGTTCACATTCTAGGAGGGAAATGAACAATAAAGACATGACCAAGCAAACATGCAACAACAGGTGCTGGGGAGAAGGGAAGGAAGAACAGAGGGAGGTTTCTTGAGTGAGAGAATGAACCATGCATATATATGGGAAAAAGAACTCTGGGAAGAAAGCATGGAGCATGCAAAGGCTCCCAGATGGCAACATCTGGGTGGCACACAAAGTGAGAAGGAGACAATGGGCAGAATTGAAATCAGAGATGCTGCCAGGGCCATGTAGATAGGACTTGGTAGGCAGGGTGAGTTTTCTTTTAAGAGCAAGGGGAAGCCATGAAGTCTTTTAAACTGGTGAAGATGTGTTCTGATTTTTTCTATGAAACAGATCATGTTGGCCAATATATGAAGAATGAATATATAGGTATGAGATGATGCAGGGAGCACATTAGGAGCCTTTAATGCTGTCCAGGAAAGAGATGCTGTGGAGTTTATGAGGGTGGTGACCCTGGCAAAGAAGTAAAATGAAATGATCTGGGATGTTCATTTTCCTGGCAGAATTGATGCAACTTGATGACAGTTTCATATGAAAAGAGAAGGGTCCAGCACAGTTTGTGGATTTAAACTTGTACAAATAAATGAGTGTTGGTGCCAAAAATACTAAGGTCAAGATGACTGGAGCAAAGATCTGTTTTTTGAGAGTTCAATCTTGGACATGTGAACTTGAAAATACTTCTTAGACAGATTGGTGGAACTGTGAATGGGCAGTTGGACATAGGAGTCCAGAGGTCGGGGGGAAAGGTTGGGGCTGGGAATAAATTTGGGAGTGATGAGCACATGCATGATATTCAAAAAGATGGCTAAGCAGTGTGTGTATATAGAGAAGAGGCCCAAGGGTTGAGTGTGAAGCATCTAGCAGGTGGTAAGGCTGGAAGATGTAGCAGAACCAGCAAGGGATCTAAAACAGAGCCTCTGCTGAGAGGGGAGGACCACTGGTGACTCAGGAAGGGAAGTGGAAGCCAAGTGTAGGAAGTGTTTCCTAGAGGAGACAGCAAGAGATGGGAGAGTAATGAAGAGAAAACTCAAGCCCAGCAGGAGGGGACACAGGGAGCACGGAGCATGGAGCATGGTGGTGGAGCTTACGAGAGCCTCGCAGGATGGCACACAACCCAGGTGAGGCTGCACAGAGCAGGAGACACAGAAAGGAAGGTGTGGAGGGTGTGACCTCGAAGACAGCCACAGAGTCTCAGCAGAAAAGAGGAAACAAGAGGCAAAATCGAGTGAAGTGAGAGAAGAAGCAAGGGTTACTGCTAGGTCTCAGGGCAAAAAAGGAACAGAGGCCATGCTCTGCACACCTTCCTCAGGGCGGGACAACCATGCAATGTATCTTCCGAGCAACAATACATTGTAGAGTTAATAGTTACACTGAGAACAGCATCATCCCCCACCTCCTCCTCCTCCTCCCCCTCCTCCTCCTCCTCTTCCTCCTCCTTTCCCTCTTCCTCTTCTTTGCGGCCCCTTCCTCCTCTTTCTTCTCTAGGGAGCATCCCTTGGAAGCTCTATCACACAGATTGCTCCTTCTCCTGGGCCTCCACCTTACATCCTGTCCAGACCAGGCCCTCTGCCCTTGATCCCATGAGAAGTTCTCAATGTGGAGCAGCTAGCTGCATGAGGTGTGATGATCAGATAGGAGGTTTATTGTGAGAAATTAATTCCTACCATTGTTATCGCCTTTATTTTACATACTTGAGTGGAATTCAGGGTTATCCTTATAATAGTATCACTTTCAGTCATTTATTTTCCAATATGACTTTTGAAAGAGAAGAAAAGAGTGCGTTTACTTCTGGCATTGATCGTCTAGTAGGCACCTACTTCATGCTAGGTACTCGACTGGGTCTGCCTATAAAATGGTGAACAGCCCCGGTGCTGATTCTGCTCTTGTGGAACTTATTTTAGTGAGAAGAAACTGAAACATAACCGAAGCCTAACTGGTTCAGGGATGTTCCTAGAGAGAGACAAATACTGTTTGTTACTAGCTGAGGCGTTCCAAATTAATGCAGTGTTCTGTTTCCATTGCTTCTTCCTCCCTCTCCACCCACCCCGCCTTTGTTGTTTTATCAGTTCATGGGAGGCTGCCTCAAACGTGAGTCTGTTCTGTAATATGCATCTGCCTAGCTGAAAACTGATTGAGAATCCCTGGATTAGACTAAATCTAGCTATTTGCTCTGTTGCAATTTATTTTGAGCTCTGTTCCCGGTTCATTTAAAGTATCCTGGCAGATGGGTGAAGAAATTGTAATGGGATCCCAGAAATGGGAGTACATCATCCCATCTGGAGAGATCAGGAAGGCTTCACATAGGAGATGGCTTCTGAGCCCAATTTTAAAGTATGAATAAGAGTGTGCTGGGAGAAAGGCAGAGGTGTGTATATTTCTTCTCATACAAGGTGGGGCTGCGATCTTCTTGGCTCTTCCTTCTCTCAGGGCCTAGCAAATTCTCAGGTACTTACTGATATCCCACTGCCTACTTCCCTTATTATGTTGAAATGAAGGGGCTGGTTTTGGCAGGTGTTTGTTATGGAGGAAGTCTCCTTGAGATTGTCCGTACTCTCAGATCTAATGCCAAGCCCCGACCCTATACTCTCTGATGTTGTCCACACATTTAGTCCACTAAGGCAAGTAGTGTGGTCACAGGCACACAGGTAAGGTGCTCAGCTCCACGGAGACTTCCTGCTCTGTGCTTCTGGCATGGACAGAGTTTAGGTCCGATAGAAGTAACCTTTACAGGCTCAAAGCAGTTTCCAGATCCAAGTTAGTGGCACTAGAAGCTCTTGTTGTCCTCTAATTGTTTCATTTTAATATTTTATTTTCCCAGAGCCAAAACTTTTCTTTTATTGTGCTAAAGCTTTTAGCCTCCAAGCCTGTCAACAATTTTTGACTGCTGCAAAATTAATATATATATTTTTTCTAACCTTTCCAGTAACATCAGGAATGTGATCATGACATCTATCCTCCTCTCTTTCAGGTTCACCTCGACGTCTGGTGGGCCCCCGATGAACAGCCCTTATTTTTCCTCCAGTGGGAATGGCATAAAGTTTTAGACTTCTTTTTTTCCCCTCCTACTCCTTCAGCCCTTGGATCAAGTCTAAGGGCTCTGAAATTCTGGATTGTACAATAGCTTGGTATGAAGTTTGGAAAACCAAGGTTCAGACCAGGTCATGGTCAGAAAACAGCAAGACTGGATTCATTGAATGGCCATCTATTTGTCACACACACACAAGCCAAACACATTCCCTCCTGTGCACACTCACTCGCTCATCCACACAGGCACCTGTATTTCACTAACATGAGTGAGTTTTGTTTCTGTTGTTGTTAAAATAGGAGTAAGGCACTTACTTTTAAAAAGTTTGTATTTTATGATAAAACTCTGAACTGCTTGAATGCCTGTTCATTTTTGTTATGATGTGTGCAATCTTAATTGCTCATTTTCCCTGTGAAACTCCATGTTTCCTCAGGACATGAAAGGAAAGAATGGGCTGGAGTGCTGCCCTCTAAATTTGGGATCCTATGAACCACAAGCTTGAGGGCTTATCTCTTTACTCCTGTGATCCATTCACTTCCCAGCACCTCGCTTTATGCATCCTGCTTTCTGGACATTATGAAAGGAGTGAATTCACCCCCATGTATTCTGAGTGGAGGTTTTACAGAAAGTCCCTCTAAGACACAAGATGTAAAAATGTGGCCTGGAAAACAATATCCAAATGAACTTAAATGACAAACTGTATCTAATGTTGTATATCAGTGTCAATCCAGAAGTCAACCTCAACACTGCACCTAATAGCACTGTCCTTGATCTGTCTTGTCCAGCTCTTATAGATGACTTGAATAACAACTCTGACAGTACCCTGATTGCTTTTATGGAGGGCACACATCTGGAAAGAGGAAACCGCATGCATTGTGATGCACTTGTTCTTTAACTTTCTTAGTCTAAGCCCACAACAGGCATTCCCTTCCCCTGAGCCTGGAGAGAGCCACAGAAGCCTTCTCCCTAGGCACTCCAGGTATGCATCACTGACCAGAGTTGGTCTATGAAATGAAATCCATGTGCTGTTCCTTAACAAACACCAGCAACATGCAATTAAACAAAAGCTAATGTAAGGATATACTCTTTGTGTAAAAAAAATGAACTATGCACATGCACAATACACTGATATCAGTTCTAACCTGTCATGCCAGCCCTTGCCAGACTGTCAGTGATGACAGAATGGGGATGTTTTCAGATATTTAGAGTCTCAAAACATTTACCTCCTGGTAATTTGTCAGGAAGCTAAGGGATGGGGTAAACTACTACATGGGATTCAACCAACACGGACTCCAGGAAATTGGTCCCCAGTGCTGGAAAGAAATTCAGGATCTCCTTGAAGTGAAAAAGAAGGAAGGTCTTAGCTTAAGAGTTGCCCTCCCTCTGGGGGTAGTGGTGCAAACCTGTAATCCCAGAACTCTGGAAGGCTGAGGCAGGAGAACTGCAAGTTCCAATCCAACCTGAGCAATTTAGCAACTTAGTGAGTCCCTGTCTCAAAAAATGTTGGGGATATAGCTCATTGTGAGGTCCTGGGTTCAGGCACAGCCTCTTGTGTTGATGGGGCTGAGGAGGCTGAAGAAAAGGAAAATGGTAGATTATTCACACTTTGGAAAATTGTACTGTGAGTTGTTTTATAGCTGTTGGTAGGTGTGGGAAGATTTAGCTATAAATTGAAATAAAAAATGAAACAATTGTTATTAACTCAGCAATGAATAATATTTACATGGTCATAATAATAAAAAGCTCAGATATGAATTTAAATAGAAATGGTGACATAACTATAGTAGGAAGGTGGAGGGGAAAGAAAAGTATGAATAGAGATGAAGTTCTCGTTCATCATAATAGGAAGTTGGGAGGTAACATCTAAAACAGATAATTCAAGAGCCAGTGGAACTCACAAAATCATCTAAAAATCTGGAGGTAAACACTAGAATAAAGAGCCAAGAGAACTGAAGTGTCTGCCTGTGAGAAATGGGATGAGTTTGTAGGGAATGGTACCGGGATTGCTGCCTTGTATGTGAAGATTTTAAGCGCTATTTGAGTATTATATTTAAGCACTTTTGAACCATGTGCATGTATTACTTTAATACAAATAAGTATTATTTGCATGCAATACTTTAGAAATTGCATGTGGAAACCATCTAGTAGATGCTTGGCACATGGTGGGTGTCAAAAAATTCTTGTCGAATTATATTGAGCTGCCACTGACACAACTGGAGCCCAGTGCTCAAGCCCTAATCTCAGGCTGTCTGAGAATCAGATTCTCTAAAGCCTTTGATTTTTTTCCCCTAAAAAAATTTCTCGAGGGGAAATTTAGCTAAGGGAAAGCCTAGCACCAGTGCTCAATGCCTTTCCAGTGCTCACATTCCCCCACTCTATTCTCCTTTCTGGGAACTCCAGAAACACTTGTGGAATTGTGGGAAGAGGCACCCAGAGTGGTTTTCCTGCTGCAGGATCTTGGGGTCAGGGTGTGAGTGCCCCAAACCCCAAGTTCCTGTCCATGTTCTTTCCAACCTTCCCCATCCCCACTTAGTCATTCAGCACATATTCACCAAAAACTTATTTTTTGGGATACTCCATGGGGAAAGTCATATGCATTGCCTGCCCCCGTTAATTTCTAAGCATGGCCATTAAATGATAGTTACTATGGAAGGTGATGAAGGACCTTATTCAAGGGACATTTGTGGAGCTATGAGAGCACATACAGGGACACCAAACCCAGTTCAGAGGGTCAGACAAGTGACATTTGCTCTTATGATCTGTTTTCAAGTCTCCTTCCTTGGGCAACTCTATTTGAAAATCTTAAAAGTAATAAAAGCCCATATGTGCTTTAAGCAACAAAGTTGAGGAGTAGCCCATTTTAGTGGGTTCTAGAAAATTCCTAAAATAATAATAGTTACTAATCGTTGAACACTTACAACAGCATGGGCACAGAGTTATATACATTACTTTCATTATCTAATGTTCGTAATAGCACTGTGAGATGTGTATTTTGACATAGGCAGAAACTGAGGTTCAGAGTTATTCAGTACTTTTTTTAAGGTCAGATGTTGAGGGACCTCAGCTCAATATTTTCTCACCCACTTTTCCTCCTGTTTCTCTGTTTCTAGTAAACACAGCCCTGCCTGAATGAACTTTGTTAGAACTTACATCTTAAGGTTTATGGTTAGTAAATTATCAGACAGCTAAGATTTCTAAATCATTTTCCAGTAACAAGCCAGTGTTATAAGAAGCGGAAGACATGGGCTGAGAACTGGAGGGGAGTGGTAATGGATTCCTCCGTAGGGAAAGAAAAGGTTTGCCTGAAAAAGCTGACTCTCAGATGTGGAACTCCCTCTGCAGGACTCCAGATACTCCTCCATACCTCCCATTTTTGGGAAGGCATCCTTGATTCTGTGTTGCTTGTTCCTTGGAATGACAGGGTTTGCCATTTGATACCAAATACTTATTTTCCTCTTTCTCCGTAGTAACAGAACCTCATTTTCAGATTAACATGTGACCATTTTTTAAAGAATGTGTAACTTGGTTCTGGCCAAAGGGGATGTAGGCAGAAATGTTGTGTGTGATTTCTGGAGGTATAAGATACATTATGAGGTTGGCAGAGCAATACGATGGAGGGAGCTGAGCCTCTCAGAACATTTTGGATTGCAGAGGTGCCAAATAAGCCCTAGAATGCCTACTCTTTAGCATTGTTTGCTTGAGAGGAATGAGAGTTCTATTAAAAGCTGTTATTATTTTGGGTTTCTCTCACATATAGTCAATCCCACTCTTAACTGACAAATTAGAAATGAAGTAATGCCATTATTCAAGGAGACTTTCTTTCCACTACTAGATATTCTTTTTTTTTTTTTTTTTTTGGTACCGGGGATCAAACTCGGGTCCTTGCGCTTGCGCAGCAGGCGGCAAAACCACTGAGCTAAATCCCCAGCCCACTACTAGATATTCTTGACATCAGGTAGTATCTATTTATCCATCCATTCTTTTATCCAGCCATCTTTCTATTTATTTACTCAATTACTTCACAGACACTTATTGAACATTTTCTTTGCACTAGGCTTGCTAGGTGCTGAGTTACATAGACAGACAATCATATTTTCTGCCCTTACAAAGTTAAGTAGCTGAAAGAAAGAAGACTTTTCAACAAGGAAGGGTTTCCTTGCCACAACCAAATTGCCCAGACATTACCAAAAGGAGAAGGTGAAAACTGGCTTAGTGGGATCAGTCCCATAAATGAAACTTATTTGGTATTGGCTTCCCTTTACAAAGAGACAAACAGCCCTGGAGAATGTCAAGGCAGCCTATATATACTTTTCAGGATTGTGTCTTTCAATTAAATGTGGCCAAGTTCCTACTATCTGTCAGGACCGAGGCAGGAGGCAGAAATGACTTTATTTATTTTAACAGAAACAATTTAATATAAATTGTAGTTAACTCTTTATTGAGAAATTTAAACGGTGTAAAAAAAATCTCAAAGGTAAGGCAGAAGTAGCATCTGCAGGAAGCAGCTACTATACAGAAGAATAAGGTGGAATTATTAACATGTAGAAGGCACTAGGAGTGACTTGGTGAGTTGGAACTCAGACATCTGAATCTAGAGGGCAGAGCTGTGTGGCTACTGCTGGTGTTTGGGTTTGGACAAAGGCTCTGTGGGGTAGGAGTTCATACTTCTGAAGAGGAGCACTGTGAAGCTGGTCTTGAAAGTGTCTGGAAAATAGCAAATTGGATGTAGCAACTGCTCTTGGAAAAAATTACCATTGCACAGTTGATGCTGACCAGAATAGGAGCCAAAGATGGATGAGCAGTCTCTCTTCCTCCTCTAACCTGAGTCTCTTTCTAGTGCCCTGTGTTGGCAGAGCCTAACAGGGAACCAGCAGGCACACTAGAGATGGTTTGTAGAGTTTCAGGATCATTAGGAGTGGATTTGAAGCCAAGTAACGGGCCCAGTAACTAGAACACCTTCTGTTACAGGCTGAATGTTTGTGATCTCCCAAAATTCATAGGTTGAAGCCATAACCCCAGTGTAGTGGAGGCATTTGGAGATAGGACCTCTGGGAGGTAATTAGGGTTGGACGGGGTCATGAGAATGGGGTTGTCATATGGGTTAGTGACTTTATAAGAAGAGACACCAGCGAGCTTACTCTCTGAAGAAAAGGTCATGAGAACACAATGAAATGGTGGCCACTTACAAGGCAAGAGAAGAGGTTTCAGAATGAAACTTCCTCCCTGGCTCCTTGATCTTGATATTCCCAGGCATTAAAACCGGGAGAAATAAATTTCTACCATTTAAGTCACTGAGTCTATAGAATTTTGCTTGTTTGTTTATTTTTTGGTACCGAGGAATCGAACTTGGGTCCTTGTGCTTACGAGGCAGGCAGCGGAACCACTGAGCTAAATCCCTGGCCCTAATAGAATTTTGCTATACCAGCTTGAGCAGAGTAAGATGTCCCTCAAAGACCTTGACACAGAAAGTTTAAAGGTTGGTGAAATGCTCTGAACTTGTCAAATAGAGAAGTCATCACCCCAAAGTGTATCTTCTGAGATTCACCTCAACCATTCACCAGCACTCTAAGCCACAGAGAAGAGTACATTCCCAGACATTAAAATCCTTGGACAAAACATGTTGCACAATGTTTTCCCAGGTCTTTTTCATTCTTCAGAAATTCCCTATTGTCCTTTAGGAATCATCCCAGGAAGCAGGGGGGTTGGGTGAGGGAGGGTCAGAAACTATTAATCAACAGACAAGTCTTCTTCTTGCTGCATCATAAAGTCTTAAGGCTTAGCTTCAGCAGTTTATTAAATTACCAGTATGCCAAGAAAAATAGCTTTAATAACACATTTCTGCCTATCTATTATTTTTTATAACCCAGAGTGGAGAATTAAAAGGCTCCCTACCATTTAAAATAGCATTTTAAAAATTAAAATGAACATGTTAGAGGGTATTTTTTTAACTCAAAAAAGACTCCATTGATTCAGGATATGATTACTCTAAGCCGAAATTTTCTGGCTAAATCTTTGTGTGTGTAAAGGAAGGAGGAGAAATGGTTTCCCTTGAAAGGTTTTGAAGTGTATTAATTAGAACAGGTGGATGGCAGGTCACTTTGTCCTCTCACGTGATTAAGTGCTCCAAACACTATTTTCTAGAAATATAATGTTGAAGATGCTGAGATAGAGATATAATCAAGGGGACTAGCTGGCCACCCAGATGGGGCCTCATGAGGAGCAGAGCTGGGGTGAAGTACTCAGTCCAGGCACTGCAAATTCAAGAGTTTTATCATGTCCTGAGAACTGATTTATGGGCTAATGTATAAATCCAACTACAAATTTGTTTCTTTTTCAATTAATTAATTTTATTGGTACATTTTAGATATACATAATGATTACATTTATCATAGGAAATTTGTACCTGGACACAATATATCTTGATTCTTCTTTTTACCCCATTTCCCTCCCCTCCCTTTAACCCCTCTTTCCCTCCTTATTAACAAAAACTTTACTTCCATTTTTCTTTCTTTTCTCCTTTTATTTCTTTTCCCTTCCTTACCCCCTCCACCCTCCCTAGTTTCTCTTCCCATTTGAACATTTTCTTCTTATTTAACAATGTCTATTATACATTTTGGTCCTTATTTACACTATTAGTTTCTCACA